CGGATTGATCGGTTTTTATCATTATTAAATATATGAGATAATATAAAAATATTTTAACACTAAATAAAAAATATAATTATAAAACACATTAACATCCAAATTAGTAAAAACGTAATAAAAGGTATAAATTATAAATAAGTTTTTATACTCCTTTACATTTGTAAAAATTGAAAAGCTCCGAAAATTCTTCTTGGTTATATCACTAGAGGCACCAAGAATAATAAAAGATGACTTCAAGTTTCTAGTATAGCGTAAATAATCCTTAAAGGGTAAAATTAGTTTTTTTTTATTAATGCACTAATAATTTAATCACATCTTCTAAATCCTATTAAAAGTAAATAATATTTAATATAAATATCACTAAAATTGATTAAAAGCATTCATAATCAAAATTTAAAACTTCTAAACCAAATATCCAATAATAGTAAAATATCAAGACTAGATTTATTATATTGTTTTAAGACTTTTAGAATAATACTTTTTTAAAAACTTTGTTAGAAGAATCATAATATTATTTTAGGAACAAATTAGAAATTCAAGATTCTAAGAGTAAAGGCGCAAACCAATTTTCAGGGAATAGAGTTACAGGTGAATTAGTAACTTAGAATCAAGGTTAGGGTGCATGATTAAAATGGAAAAATAACTTAAGGAATATGGAGATGTTTTATTTTTATTTTTTAATTAAATTAATGAAGTTATTATCTTGTAAAATTTAAAAAAAAAAAGAAATTTTAAAATACTACAAAAAATTATATTATATTATTTAATTAATTTATTTTATAATCGGATTTTATTTTGTAAACAGATAATTCGAGCGGTTTGAAGATGAAACCACAAATCAAATCAATTATATTGGTTTTAAAATTTTATAATTTAAACCAACTCAATTTTATATTGGTTTGGATTGGTTTTTGGTTGGATTGGATCAGTTTAGATTGGATCAATCGGATTGGATCGGATATGAACACCCCTATATGTAACAGCCTTAAGCAAATCTTACACCAACAAAACATGTGAAAAGTGCTTGGTATATAAGTCAAAACTTGTTATCCCCTATTGATGTGTTTTAAAATCAAGTGGGGTTTATGTGACATCCTTAGACAAATCCCACACTGATAAAGCATGAGAGAGATGTTGAGTATATAAGTTAACAATTGTTATCCCTGATTGACACGTTTTAAAACTATGAGGCCTAAAGAGCTGAGGCAGACAATATCAATAGCAGGTTGGGTTGTTACAATTATGATATTTGAAAATATAACTATTTATAAACTGATTTCAATTTGTTAAATAATAATATTAATTATTTTATTAGTTATTAGCTACTTTTAACAAATACAAATTTGACAAATTTTATAATTTTAACAAGTTTAATGGTGACCATAACCACACCTATCTTTCAATTGTTCGTACCTTACCATTATAATAAATTTGAAATCTTTCAGTTGTTTGTACCTTGCCATTATAATAGATTTGATACCTTACCATTATAATAATAAATAAATAAGAAAATTAATTTTTTTTATTTTTATTTTTCTTGCTCTTCTTAGGAGGCAAAAATATTTTACCTTCCTTATTTTTGAAAATTAAAAAGGTAATAAAACCGATCATGAGAGTTACAATCTAACATTTTTAAACAAAGTTTTACTCTTCATAACAAATCAGCTTATTACCAATAACTTGTTGGTTTGAGTAAAAGAAACTTCGTTTCTTTTGAGTAAAAGAAACTTCGTTTCTTTTAAGTAAAGTTTTGAATTCGAGTTTTGTAAATAGAGAAATAAGCGTTAGGAGAGCTTCCCTCCTAATGAGGTTCAACGTAGTTCAATTCTAGATTAGTCGAGGTCTAATGAAGTTACTAGAAACTGAGAGTTTAGTGCAAAAAAAACAAACCAGCTTATTATTGATACCATCTATTTGGACATATTGAGTCTCATAATTTGAAACATGTCAATATAGGTTGACAAGAGTTAACTTATATACTCAATATCTCTCTTGTGTTTTATTAATGTGAGATTTACTTAAGGATAGATACTAAAACACTAAAGGGTAATAACTCAATTTTTTATTCCTTTATTAGTATCACACTCTCTATTCAAAACTATCATTGTTTTTTTACACATTAAGAATTTAGAGGTAATTTATATATTTAATTATATTAACTTAAAAAAGAATAAAGATAAAGAAAAAATTTATAAATTATTTGATTAGAAGGAAACAATTGGAATGATAGGAGAAGGAAAAGGAAGTACCTTTAAATTGTTAGGCTAACCAAACAATTTAATTAATTATAATAATTTCCCCTCCCCTCCCCTCCCCTCCCCTCCCTTTAAACTAAATAGGCTATAAATGATAAAGTGAATGAATAAAGTTAAGAAATAACAATAGGAAAAATATTTCTCTCTTGAAAAAGAAAAATGACAACTCAATAGAGATTGAGTCAAAAATAATAGTTATTTCGGAAAAAAAAAGTATCATACAGCATAAACTACATAATTTAAATCATTTTCTAAATATTAAAAGTTACCTTTTTATTCAATAAATTTTATTTTATAATTTAGAATAGTTTAAGTTCCCAAACAAAAAACCCTTTTAAAAATAAGAGTATATATTATTTTAAAAGAAAGACTTTACTTAAGATTCCTTTTCTCAACATTCCTAAGATGAGATTAACTTAAGCAATGGAGCAAAATCATAATGTTCTAGTAATTAAGATGTTATAAATAATAAAAAATTTTAAATATTTTTAATAAATTAATATATAAAAAATTAATTAAAAATATTTAAATAATTTTATAATAATAGTAGTATTTTAAACATGAAGATGTCTTAATTTTAACTTTTCTCTTAACTTAATATCTTTTACTCAATTTTTTTAGTATAAATTTTAAAGTTAACAATTTTAACAAAACTTTTGTAGATATTTTTTTATTTTTAAATGATATTATATAGTACTTCTTCTGCTTCAAAATTTAGGTCATTTGATTTTTTTATATATATTTTTAAGTAATATTTTTTTATAATATATGAATGGTAATT